TATAGAAACAATATTAATAATGATAATTTAGTTTTCTTGTTTCAAATTGTCTTTTGATCCATATCTGATGTTTTTTAAGTAAATTAGTAAGAAGGTTTATCTAGAATAAACCTTGTGATTTCTATGCCCCTCCTTGCCTTTTTATTGTACTCTTATATAATGAATAACCTTATAATACATTTACAGAAAAATAATAAACTGAAACTGTAAACTGAATCTGACAACCATGGGCCACAAAATCAGAAACTCGCAGTCAGACACTTACATTGTCCACTTTTTTGTTGCAAGAGCTTTTAATATTTCAATAAGTTAAATATCATAGTTCAAGAATTTATAGCAGTTGCCATCTTCGTGCTCGGTTATCAAATAATAGTTTATTTTTCTTTTCTTTTGTTTGTTTCTCCTTATCATGAGCACAGCTATGGCCGGGAAGCGGTCCTTCGTCCGTTTGTCCCATCTCCCGCTGTGCCACATTAGAACCCAGTCTACTGAGTCGACGTAGCAGTTACAGTTTCTTCGTCGACAATTACACCGCCTGGAACATAGAACAAATTCCAAAAGCTCATTTCCAAAGTTCATGAGTTCTCACCATTTGAAATTTATTTGAGGATTCATGTAGGATTTTTGACAACACTATTTAATACACTTTATTCTCGTCTTCAGAACCTCATCCTACAAGTCTTCACACTTTGACGACAAGCGTGGTTGCGATGAGTGCCATAATTTTGCTTGAATATGGAATGGAAACAACAACCAATCACTGATGTTGACGTGGGCACAACCTTTTTAGCAGTTGGCCAAGCAGAAAGCAAGCCTTTGAATTAAATAATTTCCTCGTTTCTATTTTTGAATTTTGTGGGGCTGCTAAAAACGATTCTTAATTCGCGTCATTTTTATTATGACCAAGAAACAAATATTGCGAAAAAAAGGAAAAAAATGTCAACTCGTCATTTGCGAGAATTTAAAAGACTTGAATGGTAATGATGGTGGTGGTTGTTTTTGTCGCTGGATGTAAAAAGCAAGGGAAGAAAAATTCAGCGATATATGGATTTGAAATGGAAAGTTAAAATATATCCAAAATATATCTAAATTATATCCAAATTCCAATTCGATCTGGAACAGTGGACAAGAATAGCCACCCAGTGGATGTCCAGTGCTAAATTATTTATTTATTTATTTATTTGTATACAAATATCACAAATTGTAGTTGACGTAGAAACATCTGTCTCAGTGTCAAATTCACGATCACAGTAAGATAAGGTTACAGAAATTTTACTTGTTGAGTGAGACAGCCAAAGAAATAGAAAATGATCAACTAATTTATTCTAACTTTTCACTGAATGGCTTATAAAAATACATTATTTCCATTTATTTTCCCAACACTGACGCAGCACCATAGTTTCTTTAGAAATTTATTCCCTTTTAACTTTTTCTTCGCTTTAACATTACCCACTCACCTTTTTTTCCTTTCTTAACCGAACGGCTTTGTCCTGTGATTAGAAATGCAGACGCAAACCGGAAAAACTCAAACAAACTCAAAACAATACCTTGGAAATTACAAGCAAGTCTTCTCGGAAAGAGAAGAAAAATGGAAAACCTTAAACGTATGCAGCCAGTTATTTTCAGAAGAGCTCCCTGCTTATCGATCAGTTGCACCTGTTCTGTTTATTTGAAGAGAACGATTCTACCGAGATGTTCTTTTCGGGGCCAACAGATTATCAAATTGCGAATTCCAGTGGTGTTTGCAACAACTCCACATATAAGGAACTTATGATCCAAGATCTCTTCGTCATGAAATCATACAGCTTGTCAATGGTGGTGATTTTTAGTGTTGTTAATATCATATTAGCCGTTTTATCAAGTTGTGGAAACGCACTGGTTCTTTTGACCATCATAAGCTTTTCGAAGCTCCTTATTTCTTCCAACATTGGTTTAGCAAGCCTAGCGGCGGCAAACTTCTTCGAGGGTGTGCTCATTCACTGCTTAGTGTGTGCTCGTGGGAGTTTTCTCGTTCTTGAAGACGGCTGTCCTCGACCGAGTCTTGAACTTAAAATCGTCCAGTTTCTTACGAGCATCTTCTTGTACAGTGCAGTGCTTAACCTGACACTTGTGACGCTTGAACGCTACGTTAGCATCATTCATTCCCTTCGTTATCATGCGATTTTGTCAAGGCGAAGAATTGTAAATTTCATCCTTGTACTTTGGTTTGTTAGTTTAGTTATCAGTTTGCCATGTCTGTTTGACAATGCGACCATTAGCGACATTTCTAATTCAATTATGACAGTAATCTTTATTGCAGCTCTAGTTTTAACATTTTATTTCAACTTAACAATTTGTCAGGCCTCTATAAGGCAACGCCGTGCAGTTCGTGCACAAGAACAAGCGATGCGTCAGTTCGCGGTCGTTAATCAGCAGCGATATCGATTTAGAGGTGCAAAAACAATGCTGTCTATTTTCGTTACCATTATAGTTTGTTTTGTGCCAGCTGTAGCATCAAGAGTCGTACCACTTCACTCAGCAGAATCAAGGATGCTTCGCGCGTGGTCTGGGACAATTTTTGGACTGCACAGTAGTATAAGTCCATTTCTTTACTTTTTCAGGTGTAAAGAGCTTCGTAGATATACTCGGAAACTCTTTGACGTGGTCTACGCATTCTAAAGTTTGACAGTTATCGCTAAATGGGTTGGAAACACAGAGGAAAATCTTAATAGTTATAATAATCAAGTCTTGATAAAAAAATTAAATAAAAACTAACGCGGTTCTGAACTGTAATGGAGATTTGTTCAAAACTTTGCAGAAAGATATATCTTGATATTTTACTTGCAATCCATTCATAAAGAAGCGGAGGTCGCCCACCTTGTTTTTGAGTTTCAGGAACATAACCCTTTAAAGAGACTTTGTGATCCTTAAGTATCCTTATTTGTTAAAAATAAAGACGACCTTTTTTTTGTTTCATTGAACTAAGTTCAATTTCATTGTGTTTTTTATTCTGTTAAATTTGTGTTTTCCTTTTTTTTTTTTTTGTACTGTTTTTTCTTTTTCTTTTTTGTTCAATTTTTACAGAATAACCATCGACGAAGAATCCCCCCAAATACAGGTAAAGGCCCTGGAAACGAAATGGGAGAAGGAAGGGTGGAGCAACGACTCTTGTCGGCCCGCCATTCAAAGTGGACAAAATAATTTGAATTACAAATCAATTTAAAATTAATATTCATATTTGCGACCAGTCTTGCACGTGGAACTCCAAGCAATTTCAGCGTCCTTTGCAGCTAATTTGGACCAAGATGTATGTCAGTTAAACTTTATAATCTTGGTTATCGTCAGTTTATTGAAGGCCGACGTTTGTTTCTTCGAGGTTACCGTCAGAATAGCGTAGGTTTAGTTCAATCTCGAAGATTAATGGATATGATTTCGTGACGAAAGTACTCGAGGTAAGTTGTCGTCTTACGATGTTCTTCACTGAAAGAAATACAGTGTCCGTAGTTTTGTTGTTGTTCTTGATTTGAAACACGGAGTTAGATGTTAGGGGAAGAAAATGCTGTACACCTAAGAGAAGAACACGCATCTTCAATAGCAGCCGCCATGACAGGTCACATTGAATCACGTGTCTTTGAGGGAAAAAGCAAGAAATTTCTATTTCTGTCGATGTGCTAATTGCTTATTTGCTTGTGTTTTTTATTCCATTATTTTACTCTTTTACTCTGTGTATCGTTTCATATGGCGAGATTTCCATGTAATCCTATATTTCTGTATATCATACTGGTTGTTAGACAAAAGAAAAATAATGGCGACGAAAATTGACTGCCTTTGAAAATACAACTTTGTTTTAGAATAGTGCGGGGGTACACGGAAATTGTTCCTTCAAAATTTACGTTGAACGAATTCGATTATTTAAGGTGGCCCAATCTTATCGTGCTCGTCATTTTGCCAATTCCTAATCGCCCCCCTCCCCCCCCCGCCATAGGAGGTGAAACCCTTTTCCTGGATACCAGAACCAGTAGATGGTAAAACGTCCTGTTATCCCCCAATCCGAGGGGAGCAGCGAAAATCCTTGTAGGTTCATGCTACGGCAGCTATGCGCGTCAGTATCTTGCGTGGAAATCGGCCTCAATCTCGCGCATTTTTTCTTGCATGTCCTAAGGATGTTTCATATAAGAGTACATTACTGTATCAGACTAGTGGCTTCTATGATAACCTTTTTATGATTATGATCTTGGGTTTAGAACATTGTCTTTGTCTTTCTTCCATCGCTAAGATCATCATCAGTACAATAGACATGAGGAATACAACCGAATTTTTCTCTTTCATTTGGGTTATATAGAGTTCTTACCTATAAGTACATATGTATGTATTCTTATTTGATTCTTTATTTTTCATTCCAGGACAGCTACAAGCTCAGGACAAAGATTAAGATATGCAGAGGACGGCGTCGAGCAAAAGAGGAAGCTTTTAGAGTCAAGAAGTTCAAAGGAGGGAGGAAACAGGATACCTTTTAACAAGGTTGGCCATTTTGTTTTTTTGTCTTTGCGTAGATGTCATTTAACAGAGTGAGCCCGTAATGCCTGTTTTATGTATCCCTGTTTTATGTATCCCTGTTTTTTTAATCCCTGTTTTATGCTCGAATTCAATAAATAACATTTTTTACCGCTCTTATTTGAATTGAAGATCTGTACATGTAAGTTTATTCTGCATCCAACGAACATCTGTAACTAATTACATTCAAAACAGAATGAAAACCAAAGATAAAATTTGATTTCTCTTAAGTCTGATTTCTTAGTTCTCTCTTTCATTTTTAAATTGGTTTTCACTAGTTTACAGCAAGGTTGTTGTGATGATTCAGACTGGAATTTGGTCTCTAGGACATTAAAACATTGATGTCAATGAAATACTTAGTGCTTTCCGTGCATATTATGACCATTCATCTGGTGGTTAAAGTTACCATAGCAACAGTTCGACCATTCTAATACTCTGTCATTTTAAGAATAAGCTTAAAGTCAAAATATACCATTTGCCGCAAATTGCTTAGGTAAATTATTATGTAATACATGAAAAGGAAACAGACCCTGATTGATAATAGCCGTGTGTGTTGCAACCAGATTCTAACTTTCTAGATGTTCCATCGATGTTTTTGAAAAGTTTTGTGGAATTTTATTTTTAAAAGTCTTTAGCATATCAAACTCACGGGGTACAAATAGTCTCTTACTGAATTTCGTGACCGCGCCCACTTCATCGGCCCACTCAAATCGAGTGCGATTTTTGGATGTTATATCATCGTGCCGATTCTCTGTATAAAAAGTTAACAATGTACCACCGAAATATTGAACTATAATATCATGGCTTTCCATTTTGTGTATTTTCGTACTACAAAGTAAAGTTTTTCCCTCGTCATTTTCACCTTTTCCCGAGCGGGTCCGTCAAAATTAAGAAGGCGTTCGTGGTCAAAACAAGACCGAGCAAGGAGTCTTGGGCGATTTCTCTCTTACGCAAGCGCAAATTGAAAATGTACCGCCAAAATCAAAGAGAGGAACAAATTTCCTTTGTTTTGATATGTAAATTGTCGAACAAGGAGCAGATTGAACCTCGTCAAATGGCTAGTCAAAACAGCCACACCTTCCTCCTTTTGCTCGTTTCCTGTTTTATAAGCGTGAAAGCAGTGGGAGAAGAATCGGGTAGCTCGGAAAGCGCTTCACCATCGTTTACTTACGAGATAAACAAGTAAGATTTGTAAAGTTATTTTCCGAAAGAGTCGGAATAAATACATTTTTTTCAGGTTAGATTGCTGTTTTTACCCTAAACGTCGTCCAATAAATTTTTGTTGCAGCCTACTAATCTATACAATTTCGAAGGAAAATATTCAGATGCTTCACCGTCCCCGAAGGGGGTTCTGTCCTGGTGTACCGGTTCACAAGGGAATTACCATTGTTCTTTCTTTGTTTAGGAGTTATCGGTTAGCTATTGTGTATTGTTTGGTCTTTTGTATTGGCTCTTGTGAACCGGTACACGAGGACAGAACCCCGAAGGGTCTCCACTCATCGAAGCGTGTACTGTAGCCAATGTAGTGAATTTTCAGTCTCTTGTTGGGTTTGTCAACCTCCGTGACTTCAATATCATACAATTTTGTATCTTTTCTCTGTGAAATGACCTTTTTAACAGGGGTGTATGCTGAGTATTCGTTGCAGAATCGCTTTGGTTCTCTTATCTCTCTCTTTGGCTTGTCCGCCATTTTGAAAATTTGCTCAGGAGGGCATCTGGGTTAGCGGCCGCGCCAGGCTGGAACCGACAAAAACAAATGTCCATCGCAGTGGGGAAACAGTTTGATATGAAGTAAAATTTTCAATTATCATAAGTTTTGATTTTTGAAGTGAGGAAGATTTTCTTTTACCTAAATTAAGAAAAGAGTTGGGAGTCTGATTGTTGAATGTCTTGTCAGTTATTAAAAAGACCAAACTCCAGCAATATGTTTCATTCTTCTTTTGATCTTGTGTTGGCTGAATACTCTGTTAATTTCTAATAAATTAGAAAGTTTCTTACTCAATTCATTGATAAACTTGGAGCCTACCTATATCGTCAACGCTTGGGGGGTGGTAATGCAAAATTCAAGGTACTCAATTTTATCAAGATCTCTGTTAAGATTTAAAAAATATATTTTCTATCTATTAGGACATTTTACTTGATTGAATAAAAACATTGTTTGATTAAACTAGAATAATGTAAAAGTTCTTGAAGCTAAAGCCAAATTTAATTATTTTTTTCTCGAAGATAGATGTTCCTAAATTATTCCTAAAGTTCATCATTGTTATATGAAGTAGTCTTTGGGGCTTCCCCAGAAGGCCTGGGGAGTTATTAAAAGCATGGCTTCGTTTACTGTCGTTTGTCTTCTTGAGTATTGCCATCTTCTATAGTGATAAACAATCATGAACTCACATAGACCTTGCGTGCTTAATTTAAGAAACGATCTGGGAGCCTTGTTATTTTAAGTTTTTAGCAGTTGAGGCTAAAATTATACGGTGGGTATGTCTCAAAGAGAGATACCGTCATACTCCAAAACTGTTTCCAAAGGTCTTGGTGAATTGAACAGACTTTTCTTGCTTAATTCTAGCAAAAATATTATATACCAATTGGTAAGTGTCTAAGCTCTTGTGGCCAAAAGGAATTAAATCCAGAGTAAATTCCATAAATTTATATTAATCAAAGTTTTCTCAGAATTCATTTTCAAAGATTAGAAAAATTGTTGAAACCCAGAACGGCATGTTTAAAGGTTTAGTTTATTCTGCTCAATCACTACAAAGCTCCTAGATTTTGAAGATGTATCGTTCCTCCTGAATCAATAGGGAGCTCTATATCTATCTCCTTTGCTTAATAATGCTATAATAACAGGGAAATCTGGTTTTTCATGGTAAATAGATCTATCAAATATTTCATTCAAAGATGTTCAGTGGAATTCCAACGAGGAAAAAGTGCATCATAGGAAGTACACGGTGCATCATAGGAATACATGGTTGCTGTCAAGGAGCACACGGAAAGCGATAAAAACTCGCATATTTTTAAGCATTTTAACACATCTCCTTCTTGTAAGAACAAATACTCCCTTTCTTGCTTTAGTATTCTGGATTCTGCCAACAACTCAATTGATTTAAAACTCAAAGAAGCTTTTTATATAAATAAGATCAAACCTGAACTTAACAAACAATTACAGCATTATAACACTTTTCTAGCATTTTATTTCACACTTTTAACTGCTTTTGTATTACATCATACTGTAAGTATTTTATTCATCTACTTGTCTGTTATATAATTACTCACGTTCAGTTACTCATTGATTGAAGATGGCAAAAGCATGCCGAAACATGTCTCTAAAAAAAGTTGTATATTTCTTACAACATTTATCCTGCTTGCTACTACTACGACCTTATAGAAAATAATGATTACATCATTTCATAACAGGGTCTGTTCAAATTTTCTTACAAAAGGGTCTCGATTGAAATATTTATCTCGGATAGCCCATATCTTTTAGCTTGATCTACTATAGAAAAAATTTAATTACATTTTTTCACAGTTGCAATAGATCGTTTTCATATGAAGTCATGGCATTCTTGTTGCTGTCGTTGGCAATCCTGTGGGATTTGAAATATTTTATTTTGTAAACTATTTCTATAACTTTTTTACAATTTATTTATTTAGCTACTCAGCATGCTATTGATTTTTGTTTCGTTGACTTTATTATTAAACGGACAAAGAAACTCAACAAACTCTTTCAACTAGATAACAATTAAAACTCATCTCAATTGAACTCTTTAAAAAACTGCGGGTGAAAACTGCGAATGAATAAATTTCTTAGATCTTAGCTTACAGGTTAAATTAAAGCCACAACAAAAAAATTTCCTTTCGTACCATGAAATTATTCTGCGAACGATTGAGTCAAATATGATAGTTGCCTAAAGCAAGTTTCGGAGGCTTAAATTATATTTTCTATCTTTTGTCAAGTCTACATTGATCTTTCAAGCCGCTAACTACTGTCCATTGTTCACATATTTGGTAAAAAAAATCCTTAAAGGTCGAGGATCTTATTTTTTTTGACAAACCTCATTTCGCACCGAACGAAGACATAGTTTTAAAGTCTGACACGTAAGATTTGCGAGAAATTTGTAGATACTTGAGTAAAAATAATCCTATGGGATGTCTTTCATCAAAGCTGCAAACTCAAGCTAAAGAACGTTTTCAATTGTACCAATAATAGACTAAAATGTTCTTATCCATCGGAATGCACAGATTTATAATTACTAAGACTCCTAGTGACTTCTATTTTAATTTGTAGTAGCTGCTGTTGTAAGCGTGGAGTTGAAAAAAATAATCTCTTGTTAGATTGAACGGCTCAGTACCTCTCCGCCCGCCCCGTCTAGCTTTTGCGGGTGGAGATGGCAAAATGATGTGCGTGAAATAAAGAGTTCATTCATAAATTTGATTTTAATTAGGTTTATTTCGACAATAAATCATGAGAGTAGTATTAGTAAATATCGATAAATACGAGTTACTTTCTCGTTCCTTGGTATAGTAAATCGACACATTAGGTCTTAGATAGTAATATTACTTATCAAACTCGTTTTGCATAACCATATGAGTTTAGTGTTGTTTCATAATCGATTTATTTTTTTGATTAATCGTTTGTTTTCATTTTCTTGCAGAATGACTGGCTAGTATCTCTGGTGCTTAAAGCACAAGTCAAACAAGTAGAAGACACGATTTCTTCAGAGGTACAAAATTGATGCAGCACTTTACTCAAGCATCCGGTTAGTCAAGCCAAGAAAGATTTGTCAAATTCGAGGAGTTGAAGCCAAACGTAAGCATTAGATAAATGCCATTGCGTGATTTTGTCGGACTTTTGAAAAACTTATGGAAAGAGCTCTCAAAATTTTCCTGCTAAGAAAAACTGCCAAGAAAAACTGGAACAAATGCGCTAAGTTTTTCTTTATTCTTTTTGTAAGCAACATATGTTCAAATGTGGCGAAATTTTTCCGCCAAAAATACGATGCTCAAAATACGCATGCACCGTTTTTATAAAAAAAAAATTCAAAAGGAATTTATGCAATAAACTTTGCATTATTTTCTCTATTATGGTACGCAAGTCAATAAAGCAAAGTGTTCATCAGTATTTTATTTGTTTTAAATTGTCTTTAATCACAAGTTAATGAATTGAATAATTTGCAATAAAAAAGTGTCCGGAAAAGTTTCTCGTATATATACCAAGACTTTTGGCGGGAAAATTTGGAGCAATTTGCACAGAGTTCCCCTGGCAACTTTTTCGACAAAAAAATTAAAGATTTCATTTACAAATTTCCGCCAAAAGAATACAAACATAACCTCGTGCAAAAAAAAGTTAAAAAAAAACTTCAATTTTCAAATGCATCATAAAAAAACAAGTTGAAAGTTGAATTTTCCTTTTTTACAAAAATTGTTTTTGCACGAGATAATGCTTCCACCACAAGACACAAAAAAACAACATCAAAAGTTTAGCTTTTCCGATGAGAAGTTTTTAAGGCCAAAGATTTCTTTGCCAATTTAACCTCAATTTTTCTAAGCTTATAACGTTTCTTGTTGCTTCTTATAGAAAAATGACAATTCCCATGACCAGCTTTACTTTGTAACACAGGACAAATGAAACTTAATTAAACGCGCAACGAAGATTTTAAATAACTTTTATTTTCTGATGAAAAGTTCGCCCAGTTAAAAGTGAAACGTAGATAGTCCTCCTTTGTTGAAATAGATTTTTATTCGTATATTCGTATTTCCTATGTGATTCGTCGCTGAATTTACCGCTACGTCCAGTAACAATTAATTTGCTTTGAACCTTGTCTACCAAAAAAAGCTCTTAATCGATCAGGTTTTTTTTTAATTATAATTAGTCTTTAGACCGACTGTCATTTGTACTGTGGTCAGTCTGGTCGACGACACAATCAAGTGATCAATGAGATCAATGACATGTGTTTTTTTTTTCATTCCTTTTTTTTTTTTTTTCAAAAAAAAAGTTAAAAAGCTTGGCTCGATGTCACATTAAGAAATGTTTTGGATGATAATTTTTTAGCAAATTTTCACACAGTTCGTCGAGAAACTAATTTTTCTATTCGGCTCTGCATCAGTTTGGTCGAGGAAATAAACAAGAAATGACTAAAAGATTAAATTGCTGTACTCTTTCTGCCGAAAAGTTTTGAAACGAAAAAAACTGAATTTAAGGAGGCTGGATGTGGTTTTTCACTTTTCTGATGCTGGATATTTAAACTAAAAATTACGAAGCTTAGCTTTAACGAATCGTGATCACATTTTCCCCTGAACGAATCGTGAATCAGTTTGTTATAAATATATTGAAAGTTTTGTTGCCATGGCAACGTTGCTGGGTCAAAATTAGACTTGACTTGAATTTTCTTAAAAACTGGACAGTGAATTTATTTTAGATTTTGCACGCGTCCGTTGACTGTCTTGGTCTACTTGACTGTTAAGTTTAAAAAATTCTGTCAAAAAGTTTAAGGAAGAGGCCTTTCTTAGAAGTCATTGTTAACGTTTTTTCCCTCTGACAGAATTTTTTTGAATTTTTGAAAAACACGCACAGAGCCGTTCATAGTTAACTTGCAAAAAAATAAAAAAAATTCACCGCACGGAAACGGAAATACGTCAGTCTAAAGTTTCAAATTTCCGAAAATTTCGACTCAACAAGATGAGCAGTTGCGCCTGCGCAACATTTGTGTCACGCCACGACACTTGCCACGGACGCCACGAGGTTTTGGACGTCTTATTCGCCGAACGTCCTTCGCGCTCTTCTGCAGAGCTTTATTTTGCTAAGAGAGGTTTACCTTCTAGGTGGACTGCGCCTGGAAATGGTGCTGCTCTATTTGCCTTCAAAGTGCTGGATTATTTTGTGCAAAGTGTCAGGATGTTTTGTTCCTCGTGGAGCTGATCGACGCGATGTGGTTGGCGATTTGATAAGAATGGCGACCAGTGCTTCCTTCCCACCGTTGATGTAAAGATCTTTTAAGTCATCGTAACACAGGCCGCTTTCTGCAATTTTCTGAATGATGTTTTCTTTGATGAGGAGCTCGTTATCGCCATGTGAATAGAGCTTGTTTTTGAAAGTTTGCATGCGTTCGTGGCGTCCGTCAAGAAATTCCATGTCTTCGAAAGTGAAGGAGGTGGATTTCACATTGCTGTTGTTTACAATGTCAGCGCTTGTTAGCTGCAACGGGGATTGAAAGAGGACACAGTGGAGGGTACGTCCATCTTCCAAGGCATCGTGTGCGTTGAAATATTTATAAAACACAGCTTGATACACAGAAGGGAGATTGCTTTTACATGGTTTTCCGTTAGGATTGAGAAGAGCGTTGCCACCTTTGGCGAGTGTTTTGATGAGTGGAAGGCTATCGGCGAAAAACACGTTCTCCGACGATAATGTTTCTTTATTTGAATTTCCAGCACATCGTAGGAGTGTAGGAGTGTCGAACACAGAAGAATTATGGCCAGTAAAACGGTGTGACAATGCGTACTGCTGGAGAGGAAAGTGGTCAAAGATTGAAGACATTCGCTCAGGAGTGTACTGGAACATTCTCTTTGAGCAAAGTCACAGTTTTGACAGTGACTTGTTGACACGAGAAGTGTAGCTGGTGATATTGCATGTAGGTAGCACCTATATGGTGTTCCTGAAACCAGCCACGATATGGGAAAATAGCTCCGACGATCGCGATCGTGTTTACGGCCGGATTCGCGCGTATTTTGGTCACTTGAGAGTGACTTGCAGCTTTCCGTTTTTGAAACACACTACTAATAAAGTTAGAAGAAAGGGTAGGCAGCATACTTATAGGCGTAAAACATAGTCTACTAGGCAGATGAAAAAAAAATTTTTGGCCCAAGCGCGGCGGCCATGTTTCTTTGTTTGTTTGTCTGCTCTTTTTGCAACTTTTTAAAAGTCCTGGGTTAATTAGAACCCAGTCTGCGCGCGCCAAAGAAACTATATCCAGCCCTCCTTAAATGCGCCCGATTGCTGCTCACTAAAAGGTTTTGTTTTCATCTGCCAAACAATATCTGTATGCGTCTTTGTGTCCTGTGTTAGTGAAATGCTGGCGCAAAATGTCATTGTTACTCTTAGTTCATTGCAAGTAACAATAAAACACAGTGTTTAGTCCAAGAAAAGATACCGATTTTGTTCCTCTTTTTGCAAAACAAGATTTCTCTAATAAGAATCAAGACAACAAAAAATACAACCTTACTTTTCTTTTACCTTTTTATCTTATTAATTCCAATTTTGTAAAGGCGATAATGCACAAATTAAACAGCCAGGTGATCAAGGCAAAATGAGTCCTTCCCATCAAATTTCTCTATNCACTTGCCACGGACGCCACGAGGTTTTGGACGTCTTATTCGCCGAACGTCCTTCGCGCTCTTCTAAAGAGCTTTATTTTGCTAAGAGAGGTTTACCTTCTGGGTGGATTGCGCCTGGAAATGGTGCTGCTCTATTTGCCTTCAAAGTGCTGGATTATTTTGTGCAAAGTGTCAGGATGTTTTGTTCCTCGTGAAGCTGATCGACGCGATGTGGCTGGCGATTTGCGATTTGCTAAGAATGGCGACCAGTGCTTCCCTCCCACCGTTGTTGTAAAGATCTTTCAAGTCATCGTAACACAGGCCGCTTTCTGCAATTTTCTGAATGATGTTTTCTTTGATGAGGAGCCCGTTATCGCCCTGTGAATAGAGCTTGTTTTTGAAAGTTTGCATGCGTTCGTGGCGTCCGTCAAGAAATTCCGAAAGTGAAGGAGGTGGATTTCACATTGCAATTTCAGCGCTTGTTAGCAGCAACGGGGATTGAAAGAGGACACAGTGGAGGGCACGTACATCTTCCAAACCATCGTTGAAATCTTTATTAAAAACAGCTTGATACACAGAAGGGAGATTGGTTTTACATGGTTTTACGTTAGGATTGAGAAGAGCGTTGCCACCTTTGGCGAGTGTTTTGATGAGTGGAAGGCTATTGGCGAAAAACACTTTCTTCGACGATAATGTTTCTTTATTTGAATTTCCAGCACATCGTAGGAGTGTCGAACACTGAAGAATTATGGCCAATTAAAACGGTGTGACAATGCGTACTGCTGGAGAGGAAAGTGGTCAAAGATTGAAGACATTCGCTCAGGAGTGTACTGGAACATTCTCTTTGAGCAAGTCACAGTTTTGACAGTGACTTGTTGACACGAGAAGCGTAGCTGCTGATATTGCATGTAGGTAGCACCTACCTGGTGTTCCTGAAACCAGCCACGATCTGGGAAAATAGCTCCGACGATCGCGATCGTGTTTGCGGCCAGATTCATGCGTATTTTGGTCACTTGAGTGACTTGTAGCTTTCCGTTTTTGAAACACACTACTAATAAAGTTAGGAGAAAGTGTAGGCAGCATACTTACAGGCGTAAAACATAGTCTACTAGGCAGATGAAAAAAAATTTTGGCCTAAGCGCGGTGGCCATTTTTCTTTGTTTCTTTGTTTGTTTTTATGCAACTTTTTAAAAGTCTTGGGTTAATTAGAACCCAGTCTGCGCGTGCTAAAGAAACTATATCTAGCCCTCCTTAAATGCGCTTTATTGCTGCTCACTAAAAAAGGTTTTGTTTTCATTTGCCAAACAATATCTGTATGCGTCTTTGTGTCCTGTGTTAGTGAAATGCTGGCGCAAAATGTCCTTTTTACTCTTAGTTCATTACAAGTTCCAATAAAACACTGTCTGGTCCAAGAAAATATATCGATTTTGTTCCTCTTTTTGCAAAACGAGGTTTCTCTAATAAGAATCAAGACAA